TGTAAGAAAGAAACATCCGTCGGCTGCCTCCTGCACACCCCCTACTAGGGATGAAGCCTTCAACCCAGGCACATGCCCTGACCAGGAATCGAACCAGGACCTCTCAGTCCATAGGACAATGCTCCATCCACTGAGCCACACCAGCCAGGCAAATACTACAATTTTTTAAAATTATAATGTTTAAAATTAATTATGTATGAGGAAGTTATCTTGAAGCCTTTAAGGCTCGTCCATTTAGCCTACCCAGTATAACAAGTTCAATAACTTCTTTAAAAAAAACAACTTTGACTGATTAGAAAATAAATGTAGGTTCATGGTAGATAATTTAGACAATACCAAAAGCACAAAATAGAAAAGAAGTATTATTAAGAATCCTTTTAACATAAGCATGATCTTCTGTGCAATTTTAGGTCCCACTTTTTCTACTTAGTTTATCTCATGTATTTTTTCTGTTACATTAAAATCTTCCTCATACACATCATTTTAATGGCTGCATAAAATCCATGGCTGTATCATGATTTACCCAACCATTTACTTCTAGGTTGTCTTTAAATTCTTGCTGTTAAAAATAACCCTGTGGTGGATATCACATGCGTAAAACTTGGTTTGCATCTTTAATCATTTCTTAGGACAGATACTATGAAGTAAAATTCGTGTGTCGCAGCAGAAATAAACATTTTTAAGTCTGTTGATGCATATAGTCAAATAACTTTCCATCCTGGCAGCCTCGCCATCATTGAGCATCCATGTTTAAAATATTTGTTGATTGAACAGGTGAAACGGTTTCATGTATTTTAACCAACTGTTTCTTAAGCAAACAAGATATAATGAGAAATAGGACTATGGGTTAAATGGCAGTCTATAGTTGTTGTTTTTTATTTATTTAAAAAATTTTTCTTTATTAATTTTAGAGGGGGAGGAAGGGAGAGGGAGAGAGAGAACATCGACTTGCCACCTCCTTCATGCCCCCCACTGGGAAGCAGGCCCACAACCTGGGCATGTGCCTTCACCAGGAATTGAACCAGCGACCTCCTGGTGCATGGGTTGACACTCAACCACTGAGCCGTGCTGGCTGGGCTTTAGTTGTTTTATTAATAGTATGATCAATATAAATGTGACCAAGTTGTGTTTGTACTAAAGTCTCTTGTTGAAGTCAACCTACCTTCAAAAAACTTTATTAATAAGTAAGTTACTTTATTTTTTCCAAGACATGGGTAATTTTTTAAATTTGTCATTTTGATAAATCAGTGCTGGGAAACAACACAATACTGCGGTTTTGACCAAATGTTACTAACATACATTGCCCTGGCTCACACTCCACTCCTTGGTCCTAGTTTCCCAGTTTGTGATCTGAATGAACATTATCTTTATTTACCCAAGTCATTTTAAACCCCTATTCCTCAGTTTAATATCTTGCTCCTCGCTTCCTCATTAAGGTAGCATATGAATAAAAGGACCATGTGAAGTATTCATCCCTTAAAAGACAGGCACATGCCCTGGTCGGTGTGCTCAGTGATTAGAGCATGGCACCAAAGGGTCATGGGTTATATTTCTGGTCCAAGGCACGTATCTGGGTTGCAGGTACGATTCTAGCCAGGTACGTGCAGGAGGCAAGCATTCTGTTTCACTCTCTGTTTCTCTCTCCCTCTCCCTCCCTCCCTCCCTTCCTCCCTCCCTCCCTCCCATGCTCTAAAAATCAATGGGGGCAAAAAATCCTCCAGTGAGCCCTGGTCGGCTTGGCTCAGCGGTTAGTGCGTCCACCTGCGGTCCAGAGAGACCCGGGTTCGGTTCCCGCTAAGGGCATGTACCTCGGTTGCAGTTTGTCCCCGGCCCTGGTTGGTCGTGCGGGTGGCAGCCACTCGATGTGTCCCTTCACATCGATGTTTCTCTCTCTCTTCCTCTCTCTCCCTCCCACTCTATCTGTACAAAAAATGGAAAAATGTCCTCAGGTGAGGATAAAAAAAAGAAAAAAAAAAAAAAAATCCTCCAGTGAGGATTTAAAAAAAAAAAATAGGCACAGGATGTAAACTAGATACAATATATTTTGAGTTACCAGTATTTTGGGGTGCTTCCAAATAACCTAAATAGAAATTTGTACTTTGAACTCCTCAGAAAAAAGGTTCTTCAAACATCTGATAATTCTATTGAGGTAGTATTATTTAGAAATTTGTAAGCTAACACGAATTTTAAAACCAGAATATATTGACAGTGTGCATTTGTATGATTTATTTTTAACTGAGTATGTCAAAGCACTTTACAAACAAGTATTGTCTCTAGTTTGTACTGATGGGGAGAATGAGGCACAGGGAGGTTAAGTGACTGGCCTTTGGTTACAGAATGAGTTATTGACAATTCTGGAAACTGAAGATCTTCCTTATTCACATACCAGATATAGCATGGCAGTGTCAGTCAAAGTTTCTCTCATGCTGTTCCTTTCCAGATGGTTCCGTCCTGTCTTTTGAGACTTGTCTCCAAGGGTGAGAAGGTGGTTCAGGTTCCACAACTCGTTCAGTCTTTAGTCTCTTGGCAGAAGCTTCCAACAAGCTGACAAGTTACTGCCAAAAAGTATGACAAGTGGTACTTTTTATGACATTGGCCCTGGACAGAGACTGCTAGTGATTCTCTACCTCAGGCTACTTGTTGAAGAGTTATACAGTAGTATCAGCTTTGTTTTCGCCAACCTGGGTAGGATTGTGTGAGTAAATGAGTAAATGACATCTGTTCTGGTAGCATTGCTAGGGCTGTCTGGTCTTGGAGTATCCTGAAGGTGAGGGATAAAATTTGCATGCCCATATTTGAGGAAATGTTCTACATGACCTTTACTTTGCATTGAGATGAAAGTCTAGAGGTCTCTGTGCAAATGATATTGAGATGCACTTGAAAGATACTTGTTATCTCTCCGTTGAGTCCCTCAACAATGTCTTTAGCCCTGGGTGCCAGAATGAGGTGAGGGGGGGGCTTCCTAAACCACCTTTAAGACCTAGAAAAAGTGGGGAGACTGAAAGGAGGGAGGTTTACATTCAACCTTCAGGAACAGAAGAATCAAGCAGGAGTCTCAGGCAAGGGAGTCAGGACCCACAGATCAGAAGCACTGATTTAGAGAAACATTATTTCATGTGCATGAAATGAAGCTATCCATTAATGTTAAAATAATTTTATTAAAATATTAAATAGCTAACTTCGGTGGAAGGGTATCCCCAAGAAATAGCATAGGGAATGTCATCTTTAACGAAAAGTAAAAATGACAAAGCAACTGACTGTAGCCTAGGGATTGTGGGGCAGTTATGAGGAGCATGAAAACAGCCAAGATGGTCCCAGAGGCATAACCTGCAAGAGGCTTCAACACCTGTCACCCACTCATAGTGTCTTTTGGAAGTAGGAACTAATTTTCTTTGTGTCTTTGGTGTGGAATCTCAGGTAGTGCTGTCTGCTGAGTGTAAACCTTTATTTCATTAAGTACAAGTAACAGACAATAATTCTATTTTACGTCCCAAGAGCTTTATATTAAATTGATTATATGACTTTCATCTCTTGAGTTTTTAAAGAATTGTTTATAATTGTGATTGAGTCTTCATGAACTTTAGTGTGTCAGCAGGGAATAAGTTGACTTTCTTTTCTTGTGAGACCTTTTAATTTCATTTTACCCTTAATGTTGATAAGTGTCTGAAAATTAAATGGACACATGTGATTGTGTTTGCCTCCTGCCATTCCTTTAACCTTCCTTTAAGGAAAGCAGCTATGTTGACTTCAAAATGTCAAAATAATAACATTTAGTTATGACGGGAGGTTCTGGTTGTGATCATTTGATCTACGAACTATTTGCAGGTGTGTTGCTTTCTGAGATTTGTCCCGTTTTGTATAGTGGACTATAACCTAGCGAAAGTGAAATAGCTTAGCAACCTTATTTAATTTTTTAAAACAGTTTTGGATAGTTGAAACAAGTTGATACATAGGACAGTTATAAAATGTAAAACTAAGCTTTATATTGATACTTAATTCCTTTCTACCTCCTATTCTGAAGGAACTATGTCTTATTGAGTAGTTTTAGGGTAATGATTATTTCTCTTCTACTTTTCTCACCCCAGTATGTGAATATTCCTTTAGAATAATCATTCTTTATGGTTTTTTACCTTTCTCTGTTTTCCTAGACTGGTGTTAAAATTTTGATAGTTAGTTTATAGGTTTGGTTCTATTAGTAACCTAGAGAATAATTATTCACTACTTTTACTAGTATTAGCACACATCAGATGCAGAAATGGTATTTCTTGCCATTTAATTTTTCTCATAAGATACTAATATTCATGTGGGCGTTTGTCACCCACAGCATATAATTTGATGAAACTGATGTTCCGTGTTCCTAGAGCTTATATTTCTCAAATTGTGTTTGCTCTTGTGGACCACTTCTTTCTCGTGGTATATAGGAGGCAGTGGAACATGGTGATGAAGTGTTTATTTTAGGTTAGGACCAGGGTTTGAAGAATCCCAGGTGTTGGGTAGCTTTGTAAGTTACTTGACTGCTCTAAGTCTTACTTTCTTCTTTATGCGAGATTACAGTAAGTGTGACAGTTGTTACAAAGGAATTTGGAGAAGGAAATCCTAATGGACTGTAGTAGTCATGTTAATAGTAGTTTGAAATTAAATTAGATTTTAAATGCTTATCTGCAAAGTACTTTTCTGGTTGCTTTAATTCTTGTATTGGAGGTCTGTAAACCTTACCGTATTCTTTGCTTTCTGGTCCGTTTTTCCCCATTATCCATGCTTCTATTTATATTTTTTGGTCCCAGTCATCAGTTCTTACAAAAGTAATTAAATGCATTCTTAAGTACATAATAGTGTCAATATTCACTTACATCCACCACCTCAAGGCCCAACTCGCTATCGTCTCTATGCTGGTCTAATTTTTGCTGAGCCTAAAACCAAAGACAGATTCTGGGGGTTGATATGGGACCTCCAGAATGGGGATTGCACAGAATAATCTTATTTTTCCTCTATTCTTCTAGTCTGTTATGTTCTGAACCCACACATGTTTTCGGAAGGACCAGATGGCTGACACTGGCTAATGGGAACCAAAAGACGAGTGAAAGTAACCTGGTTGTCACATACCCCGAGCTTAGAGGTGTTTCACCCTGCCCCAAGATACATTGATTGTTTTTCTCTGGAGACTTTACCCCAGCGTGTCAAAAAGCTTCGATACAGCCTGGCTTATCTGAGGTTAGATTGTTAAGTCAAGCGGCAGCATTTGTTTAATGAAAAGGATTATATTCAGGACTGTGGGAGAGAAGCATCTGCCTTTACAAAGGCAGTGCAACCTTGTTGTTAAGAGCTTGGGTTTTAGAATTAGATGGATCTGGGTTCAAATTTAGCTATACCACTTATGAGCTCCTTGACAACGAGCAAGTTGCTTAGCCTCTCCAAACCTCTTTCTTGCCATTTGTAAAATGGGAATAATAATAGTAATAGTAGCAGTGTACTCTGCACCTGTGATATAAGGAATGAATGAAACATGAATAATTATTTATTGTGTGCCAGTCACTATGCTAAATATTAACCTTTGTTGTTGTTATTAAAGAGCTCAGAACAATACGAGAGGATAAGCACAAAGGAAAAAAGAACAGGCTTGAATGGCCACAAAAACATTCTTAAACAAAACTGAATAGAAGTGTTAAAGCTTTGAAGAAAGTGCTAAAATAATTGGAATCAGTCAGATTTCTGAGACTTAATGAGAGGAGTATGTGGAAGAGATTGATATGATTCACCTTGTGTAATCAAGGCATTCCAGGTGTAGAGAGTGGCATAAACCGAAATTCAGGAGTCATTATAGACCTCTGAGCAAAAAAAAAAAAGATAAAGTAGCTAACTTTCCCTGCTACGTGTAAAAGAGACAAGCTGGCTCAGTAAAAATAGCCATATCTTAGAATTAAGTAAGTTGATCAAACAGAAGAGACAGTCCTGACGGCCTAACAGAATGAGAAAATTGTAGAACTAAGCAATAGACTGAATGAGCAACCAGCTAGGAATAGTCAAAGGTTATTATAAGGTACTTGGAAGTGAATTAGATGATCGGGGATCCAGAAGAGAGAAATCATGAGGTAGGTTTTCTTCTTTGAAGGTGGGGAAAGATCAAGTGCAGACTGAGCTGTGGCCAACGTTTGCAGACCAGGAATCCACACTAGCTCTAATCAGAGAGCTCTTGGTGTGCAGGAACTGCCAGTTTGCCGACGTGAAAAGAGCCCCAGACTGGGTATTGGTGAGCCCTGGAGTCGCACCCCAGCTCTGCCACTCAGTGAGCACGGGTAAGTCATCCACCTTCTTCAGGTGGCCTTGATGGCCCTCCCTCCTCTGAGGCTAAAGAAGGGGAAGGTCAGAATGCCCAGAGAAGCCTCCTTCCTGTCTCAGATTAGGAAAGGATCTCAGGAACCTACTTCATGTAGTAGGAACTCCTAGTTGTGGGTTATAAACAACCTCTGTTACCAGAAAAGTTGAATTGCACTCATAATCAGTGACCCAAAGAAGTGACTGTGACACTGGTTTCTTCTACTTTGAGGACCTGACCACTGCTCCCCTGGAATGTAGCAGACTGGCTATTACAGTTGTCACTAGCAAGCTTTTCTCCAAGTTGGCTTCACCTAAGCACTAGAGTTGGTTGCAGAAGAGTCCAAGCACTTTATGCAGACAGCAAGAATTGCTGGTTTTTCTTTTTCTATTATTACTCTCCTGTCAATGTGTCCTAACTTTTTTCACCTCAAACACCAAGTTGACTGAAGCATAGGTCCAACACTGAGTTCTTCCAAAGAAAGCTGTTTGATTCCTGTTCACTAAATGCCATTTCTTTCAGGGTAGATTTAAGGGCTCTGCCCTTAATGTACAGTGCTATTGACCCTAGTTTGAGGGTTCAAGCCAACCCATGGGTTAACTTCAACAGATGAAAATTTTTCCTTGGCTACAGCAACATCCCTAATCCTGACCAGCCATGGAGAGGTTCGGTTCTTACAAGGAAAATGAGTGAATGTGGGAATGGCTCACCACATTGGGAAAACAAAACTCACATCCTGCTGATGGTTGGCTGAGGACTGTCATGTCCACATACAAAGAAAAGCATGTGGCACAATTTTAGGACAAAGGTGAGCAGAGATCCACTGTGGAAAGGGGCAAATTTTTCTTATAGAGAGAACATCCAAGGCATGCCCCTCGAGCAGTGTTGGTGGGTGATCTCAGGCACACGCATGGAGGCTTGCTTTCCCTTGCTCCCCATATCCACTCCCCTATCACTTAGCTGGTATCAAGCACCCTCTTTATCAATCCCTGCCCAGTTAGTTACTGATCATCGTATCTCAAGGGCAAGTCATGCTCATCATTTTTCAGACAGGACTTTCTCCACTCTCCCTCTTCAGAGATGATGTTTGGAAGGTAGAGATGACCCTAAGCTATTCCAGAAGGGGTGAGATAAACTCCACATTCTCTTCAGTGGAACATACAGAGTGGTGTTTGGAACCATTGGTATAGGTTATGAGGATCAGAGGAAGCCTATTTAGCAGTAAAACTAGCCCAGATGACAATTCTTCTTTAGTGAATTCTTCTAAAATTGAAGTCTTGGAGTACATTAGTTTGAGAAACATGTCATTCCAGTTCTAGCATTTTAGCATTCTCACTGAGAGCCTGAACAGTACATTAGGTGTAGAATGAGGACAACCTTAGCATTGTCAATGGTGGAAGAATGGAAAAGTTTAGAACAGCTCACATCATTCAGTGTGGCTTTTGTTTGTGGTGTCCAGATATCAGTCTGTGCTTAGTATGAATTATGGCGCCCACATTTTTTTAGGGAAAAAATAACAGGAACTCCCCTCCCATCATTTTTTGACTCGGTTTGTCAGAATAAAACATGACCCCGAGGAAGAGTTTTGGAAAAGGCAATAGCAGAGAGATGCTGAAGAAAGGAGTTTTTCTTTTAATTGTTAACTAGAGTCCGTTTAATAATTGCGCCATGCTGCTTGTTCTTTCACATTGGCATCGGGGAGAGAGGCTGAGGCATGAGATGGGAGTCCGGCAGCAGGAGGAATATTGGAGGGTTTTTGTTTTTGTTTTTCTCAACCCCTGCCATAAAAGGATTTTGAAATTTGTCTTAGATTCAGTCTCTAGAATTCCTTCTTTATACTAGAATTATTAAACGATGGTTTTTGTTTTTAATAGAGCAGAAGAGGAAGGGTGTCTGTGGCTAGAATTAAGAAATGTATCATCTGTTGGGCTGTGTTCTTGTGAAGCTTATACTCAGGTCACACCAGAGATATGTACGCAAGTGTGTATTTAATATCATTCCTTCCTTTGGCAAGGCATCCAAAAGAGAGTGCTTTGGGGGAGCAGAGATTACTTTCATGTTACTTTCTGCAAAGCACAAAGGGATATTAAGATGGATTTAGAAAGAAAGATTCTCTGATGTCAGTTACCAGGGAGCTCTTTACTTTCTTGGAGGCACTAAAATTTTAGAGACAGTTAAAATGTTTTAATAAAACTAAAATTGAGACCCATACAGTAATCTTAAAAGTATTTTAGGTAATAAAAATTTAATTTATTCTTCTCGGTCTGTCCCTCTTTGTATACCTCTGGTGCCACTTAAATTATCCCATCATTCTATCATTAAGTCAGGAGAACTGTTATCTGTCATACTTCTTGTGTTAGAAGAAACCTTAGACATATGTAGTGTAGCTCCCTCAGTTCACAGATACACTAGACCCAGAGAAATAAAACTATTTAAATGTGCATTTTCAAGTTGGTTTATAGCAGAATGAGGACTAGAACCCAGGCCAGTTCTTGCTTCTCCAGTCTCAGTAGTTACAGTGTGCCTCAGTTTCCTCATCTGTAAAACAGGGATAATAGCACCTGACTCTAGGTATTTTGAATATTAAATAAGGTAACATTGTCTAGTTTATGGAAAGTAATGTTAAGTAACATTTTATTGTTATTAGTCTTCCTGCCTTATTTGGGAACCCTTTCACTATATTGAATGAAGTAAGTCATTCTTTGAGTAAAGCAAATCTAACTAAACAGCGATGTGGTAGAGTACCCACACTGACCTGGTCTTTACTTTGCTCTTAGAACAGGAGTCCCTATCAGGTATGGTTTGTGGTTATGGGAGGATATTTGATTTAATTCTCCAAACCCACCCAACATGTCAGTGTCAGAGAGAAGTGACAGGTGCCTAATTTACCCTTGGACTGGACTTTGACATTAAAATGTTCCAAATAGATTTTGTGGCTTTTCACAGAGTAGTAGCCAAAGTTTTCCTGTGAAATAAATTTGATCTTAAGTCAGCTATTTTAATAAGTAATTTGGATAACCCACAAAAATACAGCTATTAAATGTCCCACCTGTTGGGACATTTTAGAAGTAGATATTAAGGAAGGACTGTAGGGGCCATTATCTTTTAATAACACACATGGATCCCTACAACTCAAGGAAGAACTTTATTGGCAAGATATGCCTTCCTTCAGCCTCAGCTGCAAAGAATGGTCTATCTGAGCATTAATTTTTGTTTTTAGATCATTGTGCCTCTTAACAGATTGTCCTCACTTTCCCTCAAAGGGCAGAATGAGTTCCGCATGTAAGCCTTGGAACAGAACAAGCATGCACAGGATGGTCTCTCAGTCTGGGAGAACGCATCGCCACATAGGTCTAACAATGCATCACTTGTTAACAAACGCTTGGCTTTTTATTTCAGATGACTTGCAGAGCTTTCTCTGACCCCCAGGTAGTTGTAAACCCTGACTACTTTGAACAGCTGTTTAGATGTTCCTCTTATTTCATCTTTAGGAGTCAGTGTTTTCCTTCTGACATAACATTAGATGAGTTGGGGTCATTGGTGCTGAACCACAGAGGTGTGGAGGCCATTTCATCATGCCCATGTTGAGTGTTTTCTTCCATCCCTCTCTGCCTGGCATCAGGCCCTCATATGATGCCATGAGCATTGGTGATGTGGGCAAAGCAAATCTATGATCAGTCTTGACAACTAAATTAAGGAAGGTTTATCAGGGGAGGGGCATACTTTATTATCTATTTAGAAATAAACCAAAGTAGAAGGTAGATTTGATTTTTTATTTGCGTTTCAAATTTTTTCCTCTAAAAATAATAGTGCAGCTTTTCTCATGACCTACTCTACTTTGAAAAGGAAAAGGCAGTGGCATTATATGATCTATTAGAGAGTTTTAGTGATTAAAGCACTTTTTAACATAGAAAATCAGTGATTTAGAGAGGCTTTACTTGCTCTTTCAAATATGAAATCATGTTTGAAATCATTCTTATTAAGCTGTTCAGCAATTCTAGGCCATGGAATTATGAAACCATGTTTTAAAGACTTCTTTAGCCCATAAAGGGAGCCAGGTGGCTTCTAATTGTGTTACTTTTTTTTTAAAGGGAGTTGAGATTTAGTGACTCTTACTGTTTGAATGCCATTAATAGACATTTCAGCATAAAGAATCCTCCAAAGTTATTAGCTGTGCATTGTCACCTTGAGAGACTCCTGTTGGAAAGGAACTCTTCAGTAAAGAAAGAATACAAGACTGAGTTCTCTCACTTCACATGTTGCTGAGGGTAGCAACACGTTAAAGAATCTGGAATCATTTTGGTCAGGTTGGATGGACTTGTGGCAAATCTTGTAACCTGTTTTTAGTTCCAGTATGTTTAAACACAGAGAAACACTAAGTTTGCCTATGTGCACAGCTTTATTAGAATTTAAGGACATTGTTGGTAATTTCCTTATGTGATCAGATAGGATCATTAGGGTTGTTTTGGTTTTTAGACATAGGCAGTGGTCACAAAGCTAGACTTTCCACAGCTGTGATCGACCAAACTAAAAATGTATTGATAACATAGTTTATAGGGCATTTATTTAACCTTGCTTATAATATTTTAGAAATTTTGTGTTTTTGTTTTATAAGTTTTACTCTAATAGGCATTAATAGAATTGGGTGGGGAGAGATTGTTTTCTTTCAGGTATGTGTTAAACCACCATACCGCTTTGCTGGGAAATTCCTAGCAATGGTTTGTATAGACATTTGCACAGTTGTAGATAGGTTTTAGAGAATTCTAGCCTACCTAAAACCTGATGGAAATGAATTAGGAATATATATCACAAGGAAGTGAAGAGCTCTGAATATTTGTCACTGATAATTTCTAGACTACTTACTCATTTGTGACTAATTTGTTTATAAGTAAAGGAACAGGGACTTTTTTTTTTTTTTTTTATTCTTTTTATTCTTTCACCAAGGAGATTTGAGATACTGTGATTATTTTTAAACCTGGTATGTTATTTCAAACATGATTTAACAATTAAGACACACAGTGCCTGAATGAATTTTATGTGATATTTTGATATGTTATACCAAGAATCCCTGTGGGGTCTTTGTATTTGCCACCAACTACTGGGGAGTAAAAGAAGTGGTCTCTATATTTAGCCCTTCTCCTACTAGAAAGACAGGAGTCTACCTTAAGAGGTCTCCCTATCCTCTTAGTGTCTGTTGGCACAAAGCAAAGTGGTTTCTGCTAAAGGGAAAAGAAAGTTGATTCTTAGTTTGCAAACCCCACCTAACCTTTGCTAAGCATGAACTTCATTGCTTTCTCTTTAATGTAGTGAAACTGGATGTCAGAATGGTGCCAACCAGGATTTTGTTTGCTCTCTTCTAGATATGGGTTTGTGGAGTTTGATGATCTGCGTGATGCAGATGATGCTGTTTATGAACTGAATGGCAAAGACCTTTGTGGTGAACGAGTAATTGTTGAGCATGCCCGCGGCCCCCGTCGAGATGGCAGTTACGGTTCTGGACGCAGTAAGCATTTAAAGGGCATTTGTATAAATGACATGCCTTTGTTATTAAATGTTAATTTTTGAAGTAATCAATGTTACATTGAAATGTATTGATATTTGAGCCATTTGTTTTTAAAATATGTATCTTTTAAAATGTAAAATTACAAATAAACATCTTTGATAATGTTTAATTTTAATTAATGGCATAAATTTCTTGTTTTAATACTTCATAAATATGTTTAATGATGTGTGTTTGTGTTGTTGTTTTGTTTTTCTCTGTAATGCAATTGTTTAACATAGATTTAACAAAGACCTCAATGTTTTAATTAAAAGAATCCTTTGAGGCTAAGATGACTGCCTGTTCCATTTGCTGACCTTGGGTTACCTTTCCATGCGTGGCTCTTTGAACCATTGTGGCCCTTGGCTGACCAAAAACAGGAAGCCATGTGACGACCGCAACCTTTCCCCATTAGACCTGGGTGGTGAGGATCCCAAGGGTTAGACACAGATGAGATTAAACTGAAATAGGTGCCTGAAAATCTTTTTTTTTTATATATATATAAAATAGTCACAAAAACTTTAATCACTGTGAGTAACACCAGTAACTGATATAGTAATTTGGTTACTTATTTCCAGATTGTTAATAGTTTTTAATTTATGCATGTTAATTTTAAATATTAATGAAAATATATACTTACAACTTTGTAAAGTGCATTAAATTTTCATGTTTAGTTGATTGCTTTTTTTTTTAATCTAGTTTGGATTTGAGGGTGGGGATATAGTTAAAATATATGTGCTGTTTGGGGTGGGGGTGAATGGTATATTTAAGGGAAATATGTGCTGTATCATTTTTTTCTTTTCCTCCACTGAAGTAATCTTATCTATTTGAACCTTCCAAAGGTGGATATGGTTATAGAAGAAGTGGCCGAGATAAATATGGCCCTCCTACCCGCACAGAATACAGACTCATTGTGGAAAATTTGTCAAGTCGTTGCAGCTGGCAAGACCTAAAGGTTTGGACCCTGTTAACCTTTTGGGATGAGGTTGGGCAGGAGTTAAGGTCGGGAAAGAGGTCGTTTTATGCAGGCCCAGGCATACAAAAATGCGATGGTGCTATGTGTTTGAAAGCTTTCCTAAAGCATTTAGAAATTCTCTAATTAAAGGTTCCATAGAAGTACAAACGACATCAGAATCTCGCTACTATTGTATGGTATGGGACCATCACTAATAATAATCTGTGTTATATGAGATTGTCCTCCACAGAGAATTTTGTAGAGCAGCAGTTTTCAATCTTTTTTATCTCATGGCATACATAAACCATTATTTGCCAATCTGACACACAAAAAAAACAGGTGTAATTTTTATTCATTCACACCGGACAGCTATTTTATTGCCTGTTGTCATTTTTTTATTTAGCATTGTAAAGGGAAAGAGGTCAGTGCCCCTGACTAATAGTCAGGTATTGCACATTTTTAAAATTCTTGCGACACACCAATTGAAAATAACTGTTACAGAGAGATGCTAATGTAGGTTTTTCTTTGTTTTTCAATTAAAAAGGTATGACCACCAATATTTTCTGCAACATTAGTTGTAATATGCAAGTTTATTTAGCTTCCAGTGTAGATCTTCTTTGGTAAAAATGACTGTCTGACCCATGTTTTTTCATAAGGTGTATTTGTTTTTCATGGCCTGTTTATCCTGAAAAAGTTTTAATGTCAAAAAATTAAGGTCCAGAGCTGTATTGACCATTCAGTGTAATGATCCCAGCTCATTCTTTGAGAACAATGTTAGTTTTTAATCTAAGTAGGGAGGAAAAGCTTATTGAGTAGTGCCTTTACCTGGATGGTCTTTAAGAGGAGAGAGGTAAAGGATATTCAGGGTTTCCTATCTTGTTTCTCATTTTTAGTCCGTCATTAAACAAGTTGTCTCTAGCAAAGTGAGTGAGTATATTTAGGCTTAGCAATCTTTTTAATTTTCTCCCAACAAGTTTTCAAACAATAATTTATAACAAAATGTAATAGTCCTAACTTAAATGTAGTGATATGTGCTTCTACAGCATCTATAAACAAAAAACATGCCAGTATAAAATTTAGAAAGTGATAGTTAACTTAAAATTTTTGTATTTACACATAACTTTATTTATTATTATTGTTTTGTGTTTTTTTTCATCCTTACCCGAGGATATTTTTCCATTTATCTTCAGTCTGAGAGGGTGGGAGGGAGAGAGACATCTATGTAAGAGGGACACATCTATTGGTTGCCTCTGAAACGACCCCTACCAGGGCCGGGACCAAACCACATCTGAGGTTCATCCCCTTGACCAGAATCAAACCCACGACTCTCTGGTCCACAGGCCGACGCTCTAACCGCTCGCTGAGCCAAACCAGCCAGGCACACATAACTTTATTTAAAAGAACAGTCGAATATTAATTATCTCTACCACCTACCTAATGCCTGATGTTTTAAAGAACCTCAGTAAATGCTTGGTGTGTAAATGTAATATTTTAAGAATAAATTTTATTCTGAGGAAAGCTAGCATTTCTTTCTAAAAGAAAGGGAAAAATTTTGTGATTGCGTTAGCTACTTTAACAAAACATGTCTTAACCTATTCAGTGATTTTTTTTCTCTTTAGGATTATATGCGTCAGGCAGGAGAAGTGACGTATGCAGATGCTCACAAGGGACGAAAAAATGAAGGGGTGATTGAATTTGTATCTTACTCCGATATGAAAAGAGCTTTGGAAAAGCTAGATGGAACTGAAGTCAATGGCAGAAAAATCAGATTAGTCGAAGACAAGCCTGGTTCTAGACGGCGCCGGTCCTACTCCAGGAGCCGGAGTCACTCCAGGTACTGTTTGTCTATGTGTGTTGAAGCTTGCCATAAATTAATCAGTGAATATATAAATGATCCATTTTCGTTCTCCTGTTGAATTCTCAGTAACATGATTCTATCTGGTTCAATAACCCAGAACTTCAAACCAAATATTTATTAATAAAGCTCTTGAACTCTTATGTCATGAGTACAAATAGAAGTAAAGTTCTTTCTTTGAGGCCCAAATCAGTGACCTTCTTTTCCATTTCTTGTTGGGTCTCCCAGATGCTCCAGCTACTCAAGAGTGGAGACTTTGTCTTACTCGTCAGTTGCTCTGCAAATGAGCCACGCATTTGTGAACAAGTCATATAATGTCCATACCCTCATGAAACTCAGTCTAGTGGCAAAGACAGGCACTGAGCAAATAATTACCATTGTTCCAAGCATGTCTAAGAAAACGTGCAGCGCCCTGGCCGGTTTGGCTCAGCGGTTAGAGCGCCCGCCTGCGGTCCGGAGAGACCTGGGTTCGGTTCCCGCTAAGGGCATGTACCTTGGTTGCAGTTTGTCCCCGGCCCTGGTTGGTCGTGCGGGTGGCAGCCACTCGATGTGTCCCTTTCACATCGATGTTTCCCTCTCTCTCTCTCCCTCCCACTCTGTCTGTACAAAAAATGGAAAAATGTCCTCGGGTGAGGATAAAAAATAAATAAATAAATAAATAAATAAATAAATAAATAAATAAATAAATAAATAAAAAAGAAAGCGTGCAGCACAACCACTCTGGAGAACAGGCAAAGACTTCCCTAAGGACACGTCATAGAAACAGCCCAAAAGGATAAGTTGGAGGTGGTGGGCAGACACTAGGTTCACACATTTCAGTCATGTCTCTTGATTCTCCTTTTAATGACTGATAACATCCTCCTCCCTTTTTTTGCATGCATGCATTTAGTTTTTGAAGAAATGGTTATTTGTTTTGAAGATTCCCCTATAGTTGATATTTTACTAATTGTGTCCTTGTGGTGTTTAGCACTTTTTTTTTTTATCCTCACCTGAGGACATTTTTCCATTTTTTTGTTCAGATAGAGTAGGAGGGAGAGAGACAGAGACTTCGACGTGAAATGGACACATCGAGTGGCTGCCTCCTGCACGACCCAACCAGGGCTGGGGACAAACTCCAACCGAGGTACATGCCCTTAGCAGGAACCAAACCCAGGACTCTCTGGGCCGCAGGCTGACGCTCTTAACTGCTGAACCAAACCGGCCAGGGCATTTAGCACATTTCTTTATCCTATCCCCCATATTTCCTGTAAACTCATTGTTAGAAGTGGATGCATTTACAGTCAGTTCAGGTGTGCTTCATATGTAGTGCTTTGTACTTCCTGCTGCCTCACCTATGTGATGTCTGGGTGTCCCACTTTGAATGATGCTAATTATCATTGTATTCAGGAGTTGTCAGCCTATGCCATCCATTATAAAGTTCTGCATCAGTATTCCATCTAATAGTTTTAGCATCGTTAGGTGATCATTACCTAGAGCTATTCATTGGTGGTTGCAAAATGATGACTTTCTAATTTTCTTATTCTCTGCATTTAAAAACTAATTCTATACAGGATTTCCCAAATCCATTCTTTTGTTACCCTCAAATAGAGTTTTTATAGGAAATGCAAAATAAAAGATTAATACCTTTATTCACCAACTTTCAGAACATTAAATGTGCCCTAGCAACCCCCAAAGGTGATAAGGTTGGTTGTTTAGTATCATTTTTAATGAATTCTTAGATGTTTATATATTTAATGTTTCATCTATTGCAGCCATAATTTTTTTTTTTTTTTTAATCCTCACCCGAGGACATTTTTCCATATTTTTGTTCAGATAGAGTGAGAGGGAAGGAGAGAAAGAGAGAAACATCGACATGAAAGGGGCACATTGAGTGGTTGCCACCTTACGACCCAACCAGGATCGGGGACAAGCTGCAACCAAAGTACATGCCCTTAGCGGCAACCAAACCCAGGTCTCTCTGGACCTCGGGCCGACGCTCTAACCACTGGGCAAAACTGGCCAGGGCTGCAGCCATAATTTTTTATGCTCAAATTGTTCTGTCTTTAGTCGTTGGGAGCCCTACTTTAGTATCTTTTGATCTTGTTTGGTTTTTATGTGAATATGCTTTACTAAATATTTCCCCACACTTTTTTATTGTGATCACAAACACCCAAATACCTTCCTTCTAACTTCAGTAGTCATTAGCATTTTGCCTTTTTTTTTTTTTTCACTCTGTGTGTGTATAAATACATTTATTTTGTTGTAGCGCTTAAAGGGAAGTTGTAGAATTATGACACTTTGCCCCTAAGTACTTAAGCATGTGTCTCCAAGAATGAGGATAATCACACTTGTATTTTCTTTTTTTTTTCAATCCTGACCTGAGTATGTTTTTCCATTTATCTTCAGATAGAGTAGGAGAGAGAGAGAGAGAGAGAGAAACATCGATGTGAGAGAGACTCATAGACTGGTTGCCTCCCGCACGACCCTGACCAGGGCCGGGGACAAGCCGCAACCGAGGTACGTGCCCTTGGCCAGTATCAAACCCGGTGACTCTTTGGTTCGTGGGCCAACACTCTACCGCTGAGCCAAACCGGCCAGGGCCACACTTCTATTTTCTAACCTAAGAACATTAATAGTGATTCTGTAAAGTCATCTAATGTCCAGGTCATATTCCAGTTTCCCCAGCTATTCCACGGATGTCTTCATAGCTACTGGATCCTGATCAGGATCTAGTCCAGTCGTCGTGCATTGCCAGACCTTATTAGGTCTCTTTGGTCTGAAGCAATTCTTCTACCTTCTTGCCCCTATGACATTTATTTTTCTTAATATGTTGTTTTTTTAATACTATCTCACATTTTGAATTTATTTATTTTCTCTTGGTATCGAATTTGGCCTTCATCCTCTGAAACTCCTGTAATCTGGAAGTTAGATCTAGAGAGGAGTGAACGAGATGAGGTACAGGTTCAACAAGAGTCCTTTCCTAGATGGTGGTGCCCAGAGATCTCTGAGAGTTTTCCTCCTTTTGTCATGAAGAGATGTTCTAGGCCCGTTTTCTTGTTCATTTCCTGCCCTTCACCTGGAATCAGCTGTTTCCCCCCAAGAAGCCCTGGTTGCTTTTGGTAGGAAGTGGTAAGGAGAGTCCTCGGTCTTGGCTTATTAAAAGAAATTTTTAAGCTTGGAGTGTTTTTTAAAAAGGTACTCTGGTCACAATAAGTTGAATATATTGGATAGGGAAAGAGCAAAGTGTGTGCCAGGAGGCTGCTGTGGGACCAGGGAGAGGTGGCGGTGGCTTGCTCAGGGGGCAGCAGCAGAGGTGGACAGCCTGGAGAAGAGGCTGAATCATCATATAAGGATGAGAGACCAGCCAGTGTGGCTCAGTGGTTGAGCATCAACCTGTGCACCAAGAGGTCACCGGTTCGATTTCAGGACACATGCTCAAATTGTGGGCCCAATCCCCAGTGGGGGGCATGCAGGAGGCAACCAATTGATGTTCTCTCTCATCCATCAATGTTTCTGTCTCCCTCTCCCTTCCTCTAAAAGCAATAAAGAAAAAAAAAAATAGAAAGATGTCTTAGAAATCAGCAACCTTTAAATAAATTTTTTTTAAAAAAAGGATGAGAGAGCAAAAAGTCAAGGGTTGCCCGGCTGGTGTGGTTCAGTAGCTTGAGCATTATTATCCCATGGACTGAGTGATCCCGGTTCGATTCTTGGTCAAGGTGCATGCCCGGGTTGCAGGCTCAATCCCCAGTAGGGGATGTACAAGAGGCAGCCAATCAGTCTTTCTCACATCGATGTTTATCTTTCCCTTCTTCTCTCTCTTAAAAAAGAAAATCAATAAAAACATTTTATTTTTAAAAGAGAGAGTCATGGGTTGTTACAGTTTCTGGTATGAAGGAGTGGTGAGTAACAGCAGCATCTGTGGACATAAGGACGGAACCCAACAGAGTGAGTTCAGAATTAGAGTTGTTAAGAGTTTCAGTAAGCCATCCAGGTGGAGTGTTTGTGAGCAACTAGGTCTGTGGGCCTAGAGCATAGGAAAGAGTTCATTCTCAGCTTTGTGCCTGGACAGTCAGTGCTGTACATACTTTTTATTGAAAAAATGTCTTGCCCTGGCCGGTTTGGCTCAGTTGTTAGAGCATTGGCCTGCGGTCCCGAGGGACCCGGGTTCGGTTCCCCCTCAAGGCACGTACCTCGGTTGCAGTTTGTCCCCGGCCCTGGTTGTTCATGCGGGTGGCAGCCACTCGATGTGTCCCTTTCACGTCAATGTTTCTCTTCCTCTCTCTCCCTCCCACTCTACCTGAACAAAAAATGGAAAAATGTCCTCGGGCGAGGATTAAAAAAAAAAATGTCTTTCTTAGTTGACTTTATTCCACTAGGCTTTTGTCAGCAGGTATTATTGTTTTCTCTCCGTAGGTCTCGCTCTCGTAGCAGACATTCTCGTAAGAGCAGGAGCCGCAGTGGCAGCAGCAAAAGCAGTCATTCTAAGAGTAGATCTCGGTCCAGGTAGGTCTTTCTTGGTATAAGTGGGGTAGGGGGTGAGGGCGAAACACCATACCATTTAGCACATTGGTTGTAATCATGTTACCAGTCTTATGTCGCCCCAGTTTCTCCCGATCTGGCCTGGAATCGTGGGCGTTCAGAAAGCAGTCATTGGCCATGCGTTATATTGTAGGGCAAAGCTCCACGTCCTTTGGCCTTTCCTTCTGATCATTAGCATTAGGTAAGAAGTTGCGTTTGACTTAACATCACTGTGTCTTCTCAGGTCGGGCTCCCATTCCCGGAGCAAGAGCCGCAGCCGCAGCCAGAGTCGCAGCCGGAGCAAGAAGGAGAAAAGCCGCAGCCCCAGCAAGGATGACAAGAGTCGCAGCCGTAGCCGCAGTGCGGACAAGCGCCGCAGCAAGAGTAAAGATCAAGCCGAAGAGAAGATCCAGAACAACGACAACACCAAGAAGTCCAAGAGCAGGAGTCCCAGTCGGCATAAAAGCAAGAGTAAAAGCCGAAGCAGGAGTCAAGAGAGGAGAGTGGAGGAGGAGAAGCGAGGGAGTGGGAGCAGGAGCAGGAGCAAGGAGAAGAGCCGAAGTGAGGAGAAAGGCCTCCGCAGGAGCAGGAGCAAGGGAGGCAGCAGGAGCCGCAGCAGGAGTCGAAGCAAAAGCAAGGACAAGAGGAAGGGGAGGAAGAGAAGCCGGGAGGAGAGCCGCAGCCGCAGTCGCAGCCGCAGCCGCAGCAAGAGCAAGAGGAGCAGAAAACGCAGCAGCAAGCGAGACAGCAAGTCAGGCAGTAGCAGCAGCAGTGAGAAGAAGAAGAAGGAAGGTGCTGACCGCTCCCAGTCCAGGTCACGGTCCCGCTCAGTGTCAAAGGAGCGGGAACGTGCCAAGTCCGAGTCTGGCCAGAGGGAAGGCGGAGGGGAGAGCAAGGATGCTGGCACCAATCAGGAGACCCGGTCCCGGTCGAGGTCCAATTCTAAATCAAAACCAAATCTTCCATCAGAATCACGCTCCAGATCAAAGTCCGCTTCAAAAACCCGATCTCGGTCCAAGTCTAGATCCAGGTCTGCATCCAGATCGCCTTCCCGGTCTAGATCTAGATCCCACTCAAGGTCCTAACTGGCTACGACCACAGCTGGAACTACCCGAAAAGTTTTGTACATGTTTGGTAGCCGTAGCACAAGTGATTGAAGTAGAACATAAGTCACTGCTGTACATTTTTAATTCCCCTAATGGTGTGTCTACAATTGTTAAATCTAAGTGCTTCCTCTCCATAAAGCCTGGCGCCAGGCCTTCCTGCTCGACTGAAAACAATCTTCTCTCTGAAAACCCCCTTTCCTTACGGTCCACATAGAATATCCAAAATGCCTTGACTTTCAGGCCTGGCCTTTCTTACAGGGAGCTCAGTACCTGGACGGGTCTAAGGCTGGAATGATGACATAGGTAGGTATGGTGAGTTCAACCGTTTTTGCCCTTGAATTGATGCCCTTTGATGTATGCCATTTAGTGAAAGTGCTAAGTCTTAAGTTTCCTACCACTTTGGTTTCATATTTTTGGACTTAACAAAGTTGTGAATAGCACAGTCAAGGAAAATTGATACCTGCAGTAACCCATAGGAAATAAACTATAGAGTTCCATATTCTGGTATTGTGATTATATTGTTTTATATTAAAAAAGAAAAGAATTTTTTTTAATTTTATTTTTCCCCGTCTTGCAAAGTATAGTGACCCCTGTTTCCATTAAATTTGAATAAAGACTATTTTTGCTTGACAAAATTTCATGGTGCTTGAATCAGACTTGCATTTCCTGATCTCTCTTCATACCTCTTTTCTTATAAAAAGTTCAGTGCATGATGGCTCTGGTTTCTTGAGATCATGGGTAGGGAACCAATACTATTTTCTAAAGGGTTTTTCTCACCTAACAGAATAAAGGAATTTAGTTTCTCGGTTATTTTATAGTCCTTCCTTTCTTAAGAAGCATATGGCCAGGCTGATGAGAAATGAATCAGTTTGGGAACTTGGAGCAGCACCAGATGAGTTCTTCATAAACATGACTTTCTTCTGTAGTGTTTGAACTAATTGCCATGAACCTGAATAACATGCCTCTCACTTTAGGATTTGACTAATCAAAAACCAGAGAGAAAAACTGCTGGATTAATTTCGTCCCTCCCATTCTCTGCATTGCCTGTCTGGCCCAGCTCTAGGAGGTACCAGAGATAAATACAGTGATTCCAGTCTGGACTCCATCCTTGAGGGACTGTTGAAAAGCCAGAGGGCCTTCGTTACAAGCTTGGGAGGAGAGAAAGCCACTTGACAGACTACTGCCTGTGAATATGCGGGGATCTGCTCCCAGATTTAAAATTGTGTCCTGTCACCTATAGATCATACCCTGCAGGGATATACTGGGAAGGCAGAGCCAGAGTGTTTCTTGCCATCCTTGAGGCTAAAGTAAGAATTCAGAGAAGGGAGCTTTAACTTCATCTGAGTTCAGAGACATCTTGGGGGAGTCGACACTTAGACTGAACCTTTGGAGATGTGGGGGGTGAGGCATTCCTGTGGAAAGAAACCTGTGAGCGGCGCTGTGCAGCTGGGAAAGCACAGGGCAGAGTGCCCGGGGACCCTGGAGTTTGGTAACAGGGTAAGAGAAGCAAGTTTGACAACATGGATTGGGTCACAGAGGACTTGACATACCCGGAGGAGGAATTTGGCCTTTGTCCTGTGAGCAGAGGGAAACCGAACAGGAGGATGCAGCTTGAGCTGTGTTGGGGAAGATCTGAGATCAGTTGCAGGGAACCCAGCACTTGGGGGAATGCAGTAATTGCAGATGCTGCAGGTCTGAACAAAGCAGTGACCTCGGGACAGAAGAAAAGATGAGCCCGTGACCTGTGGAGAGGAGCTGTCAGAGGTCATCCAAGACGGTGAAGCATTCCTGGAGAAGAGAAGGTGTGAAAGGGAGTCGGTTTCGGAAACGGGATGTCAGTAACAGACTGGGCAGCCGAATCCAGGAACCTCGGTCTCCCGAGAGCTTTCCCTCCATTCTGTGTCATGACAAGGTGATGGCTCCTACCAGTGTAACTCCCACCACCTCGGATCTTGTGTGGTCTCCAGTAGGTGATGAGACATCAGCATTCCCTGATCTTATCCCTGAAAGGAGGGGAATATTTCTTGGTCATTTTTTCCTTTCACAAGTTCAAACTTTTTAAAATATGTTTTTATTGCTATTTTAGAGAGAAAACATCGATGAGACAGAAACATTGATTGGCTGCCTCCTGCACGCCTGCTACCCAGGTTCGAGCCCGAAACCTGGGTACGTGTCCTGTCCAGGAAATCAAACCAGGACCTCGAGTCCATGGGACAACCCTCAACCCACTGAGCCACACTGGCTGGGCCCCAAGTTCAAACGTTTTAAAGATTCGCCTTAATTTCACTGTTTCTGACATAGAAACTATTTATTTTCCAAATTCTCTTCCAAGCTTTGTTCTTACTCATATTCTAGACATAATGTCATTTTTCATATAACTTAATAGTCATTTTATGTCATGAATGTTGGCAAGTTCTCACCTAGATGTTTAAGGCATATTAATTCTAACCAATGAATTCATTAGCACATATGATCCTTAAGTATAACAATTTGAAAGTTCCACATATACATAGAAGAGATTTGCATTTGCTTTTCCCAGCAATTTTTAAATCCATTTATATTTACCTAGATCAGCGGTTCTCGACCTGTGGGCCGCGACCCCTTTGGGGGTTGAACGACCCTTTCACAAGGGTCACCTAAGACATAACAGTAGCAAAATTACAGTTATGAAGTAGCAACAAAAATAATGTTATGTTTGGGGGTCACCACAACATGAGGAACTGTATTAAAGGGTCGTGGTATTAGGAAGGTTGAGAACTACTGACAGATTCTGAAAAGGAAGAGGTGAAAATGAAATGAAGACATTCGGAAACCTGTTGAGTTCCAAACGTGCACCAGAGATGAGTGCTTTCGTGCACGTTTCCCTTCTCACTCTGTGTTGGTTCAGTCTTGTTAGGCTCAGTTGCAGGTAAAGAGGCTGCAGCAAAATGTCAGCCTACCCCTAACAGTGTTAGCTTAATGTGAGTGCCTTCTATGTGCCAAGCTCTGTTCTATGGCACTGGAAATAACATATGAAAGAGACCCAATAGGGCCCTTTTCTCAGAGTTTTAAGACTTGTTGCTTGGTACATGATGGTATCAGTACTAAGTGCTTTCTGTGGGCCAGCTACTGGGCCAGTGTTCACTGGCAAGTCACTACAATGGACTCCTGCCACCCCTTAGAGGAAGGTTACTAAATGCAGTGCTTGTTCTAGCTGCACTGTTGTCCCTTGACAACAAATTGAGCCAGGGGATGGCAATGACATTTGAGGCTACAGTTGGATAATGCTTGCCCCACCACATTCCAGTGGAAGAAATGAGAAGCTCAAAGAGGGAGGACCTAAGTGATTTATTTGCCTGCCTATATCTACTATGACCTACATGTGTTTATGTATATTATTGTTTTAAAAAGTGAAGACAGACTCAGATGAAATGCACAACCAGTGACAAAGCTCAGATTAATTTCTAGATTTCTCTGGTTCTCCTTTGTAAAATTTCATAATTTATGATGCAATTATAGGGAGATGTTTGAAGTCACATAGGATTTGAACTCAGGTTCAAGTCAAGCAGGGATTCCACAAGACTGAACCTGCTTTCTTTAAGCAAATGTTAAGTGGCTACAGGACAGTGCCACAAGCCCAGTGCTGTAAATAAATTTTAGTTGCTCTGTCATTTGGTGAAGACTCAAAGGCCTGCCTGGGAGTGCCACATCCTAGGTGCCAAAAGTGAAGAGGAAAAAGGTGGTACACTTGACCTTCTACAGTGGGAAACGGTGCATTAATGCCCATAAAATGCACTCAATAGGGAATTTTCCTAAAAGGAAGCAGCCGAAGAAATACAAAGGTCCACTACAATTTATCTCTGGATGCTCAAAGTCCACACATACCCTTCTATCCATACTTAACCTTCCTCCCTTCTCCCTCCCAAAATAGAATGGAAGGCAAAATAGGAACAAAGAACAAGGGAAGGGTAATAATAGGAAACCATAACAAATGTAGATGCCATGTCAGTAATCACTTCAGATGTCAACTATGTAGATAAAGCCTATCAGAGAGGATTGAAACAAGACCCAGCTATATGTTGTCAAAAGAACCCCATTTTAAAAAATAGTTTATTGATATTTTAGAGAGGGAAGGAGAAGAGAAACAAAAGTATAAAATCAATCTGCTGCCTCCTGCACGCTCCCTACTGGGGATCGAACCTGCAACCTGGAGCCTCTTAGTGCTTGGAAAGATGCCCAAACAGTTGAGCCACACTGGCCAAAGCTAAAGCAACCCATTTTAAGTATAGAGACACATTAAAGGGATAGAGAAAAATGTCATGGTAACACTAATCAAAAGATAGATGTACTAGCTATATTAATTTCGGACAAAGCAGACCAGAGCAAGAAAAATTATCAGGGATAAAGAGAGGCTTCTTGTGTATGCACCAAACAATAAAGCATCAAATATATGAGGGAAAAACTGATAAAACTGTGAGAAAGAAACATCCACTATTCCCGTTGAAGACCAATATCCTTCTATTGGTAATTGACAGGTGCAGCAGACGGTTGAACTGAAGAGTGCACTTTATCTAATTGACTTTTATAAAATCTAACACAGAATACACATTCTCAAATTTACATGGAACATTCAAGATAGAACACGTTAACAAATTTAAAAATATATAAATCATGCCAGGTATGCTTTCAGACCACAGAATTAAACTGGAAATCAACAACAGAAAGATGGGAAATCCCAAGACACTTGGAGATTAAATGACACATTTCTAAATAGCATGGATCAAAGAAGTCCCGAGAAATATTTTGGGCAAAATGAAAATGCTGATATCAAAATTTTTTAGATGCAGCAAAAGCAGTTCTTAGAGGATGTTTCTAGCATTAAATCCACCTATTTTTTTTTAATATAAAATCAATTATTTTAAGCTTCTGCCTTAGGAAACTAGAAAAAGAACAAGATAAATTCAATGTAAGCAAAAAAAAAAAAATTAGAGCAGAAATCAATTGAATTGAAAACAGGAAATCTATAGGGAAAAGTCAAGAAAACCGAAGCTAATTTTGAGAAAATGAATAAACTAGCTAGATTAACCAATAAAAAAAGAAGACACACCCTGGCCAGTTTGGCTCAGCGGTTAGGGCATTTGCCTGTGGTCCTGAGAGACCCGGGTTTGGTTCCCGCTGAGGGCATGTACCTTGGTTGCAGTTTGTCCCCGGCCCTGGTTGGGTCGTGCCGGTGGCAGCCATTTGAGGTGTCCCTTTCATGTTGATGTTTCTCTCTCTCTCTCTCTCTCTCTCTCTCTCTCTCTCTCTCACTTCCTCTCTCTCCTTCCCACTCTATCTGAACAAAAAAATGGGGGAAAAAAAATATTTTTAATCCAATACTCATTCAGGATAAAAAACTCAGCAAACTAAGAGTAGTTTCCTCAACTTGATAAAGAAATCTACAAAAGACCTACAGTTAACATCATACATAATAGTGAGAAAAATAGATGTTTTTCCCTTAAGATCAGCAATAAGGCAAGGATGTCCCCTCTCACTACTCCTATTCAACATTGTATTGGAAATCCTAGCTAATGCAATAAGACAAGAAAAGGAAATAAAATGTATACAGTTTAGGAAGGAAGAAAT